TTCTCTTCCTTTGTCCCGTTGCCAGATTTCTCCTCCTCGTCTTTCTCCTTCAGTCCTGGGGCTGGTGCTTTTCGTTCTGTTTCTACGTCTACCACCTTTGTCCAAGGACACCGCATCACGACACGCAGGTGAGGGTTCCTTCTGGGGCCATGGAGTCGGGCAGGGTCTAGGGTGGAACCGTGAGCTGTGTGCAAGGTGAAGGTCAGCTTTTTGGGAGCAGGGCCACAGTTTGTATTGTCCAATTTGGTGGCCAGAGTGGGACTCGTGCCTGCAGGATTTGGTCTCTGCTTGTTGCCTGAATTGTACTGTCTCCCACAGAATCATGGAGAACGGGCAAGAGCGGGTGGAAGTAGAGGAGGATGGGCAGCTGAAGTCAATCACAATCAATGGTGAGGAGCGGCTCTGCCACCCAGGCCCTGGCAGGAAGCCCCAGCCCCCACCCTTGAAGCCCTCACCCCAAACTGCTGCTCTGTGAACCCCTTTGGGACTGGGAGGGAGTGGCAGCCAGAGGCCAGACTGGTAGGGTCAGAAATGCCAATCCTAGGCAAGAGGCAGAGGAGTCTGAGAGAGGGGTGCCTTACATTTGCAAAGCACTTGATTATTTTTAAAGGATTTGCACACATACAGGGTTGACATGTGTGCAGTTTACTATGTTAAACTATTTTAAATTTCACATGAACTTTATGTCTACCCTGTATTCCTAAAGTACTCTGGGAAATAAGCAGGGTAGGTGGTATCCACCCAGTTTTTATTTGAGATGGAGCTGCAGCATGTTTAAATGTCCCTAATGTCCAAGTAGCCCAGGCAGTGGACACCCTTTTGCAGAGTTCTTTGCTACCAAGCAAGGTATAAGCCAGGTGTCAAACTCAGGATGCACAGTTCTTGCAGCAGAACTCTTCCCACAACACTGAATTGTGCAGGATTGTCGCCATGGCTAACCTTTCACATCTGCCAATGGTTATTTAATCATTGGAATAATTTGAGTAAGTAGGTGCTCATTCCCATTTTATAAATGAGGAAAGAGATGCAGGGAGATTGAGCATCAACATGATATGACTGAATACTTCTCCATGTTCATAATCACACACGAGGTGCCCAAATGCACATGTACCAATTCCAAAGGAGAGGCTATATGTGGTCAAAGTCATTGCTTCGTGAAGCAGCCTGACAGGATGCTCCTGGCCTGGGTTGGGGCCTGATGGTGCCCATGACTCTTGCAGGTGTCCCAGATGACCTGGCACTGGGCTTGGAGCTGAGTCGTCGTGAGCAGCAACAGTCAGTCACCTCCAGGTCTAGCGGTACTCAGATCCAGCAGACATCTGTTACACAGCCTTGTGACAATGACTTCTCTGAGGAGGATGAGGACCTGCAGCTTGCCATGGCCTACAGCTTGTCAGAGATGGAGGCAGCTGGGAAGAAACCGGCAGGTGGGCGGGAGGCGCAGCAACGACAGCAGGGGCGGCCCAAGGCCCAGAACCAAGATATGGGCATGGGGGGGACCCATGAAGGTGCAAGGGGTGAGGCGGCCAAACATAGCCCATCCCCAGAGGAAAAGGCCTCCCGGTGCCTCATCCTCTGAACACCAGGCCCAGCCCAGGCCAATTTGGGTCATGACTGGAGTCTGGCTCACTGCTGGGAGAGCAGAGAAGAGCATGGCTGAGTTTCAGGAGCCTGTCTCCAAGTCCATGCTCCCTCCACACGTTTCTCTCCCAGGCCCACCTGCACTCCAGTGTGGACTTGGGATTTGCCATGCTCAGCCCAGGCCTGATAAGTCCCTGGGTGAAGGCCAGGGTGGGGCATCAGGGCAATGGAAGGGCCTGAGGAGCCAGGATGTACTTATTGGATGGGGCATTCCTGAAGGGTAATTGGTGGTTTGGCCTGGAACTTTTGTGCCCAGGTTTTTACCACCTATGTTGCTGATGGTGTCAAGGAAGGAGGATTTGGCCTGGGTTCTCTGAGCCTGAGTTGGCAGCTGCACTGGGGAGCAATGCAGGCTCTCCTTGTCCAGCTGCAGACTCCCCCATTCTGGTTTCTGTGCAGTGTTAAGCTCTGACCATCTCTATTGCTTCCCTTCTGGTGTTGGTTCTCCTTCCTCCCACTCTTCTCTCTGCAACTGTCTGCCGGCTGCATCGCTTGCTTTCAGGGCCACTCATCTGGTTAGGACTCCCTTCTTCCTTCCCTGAGAAGGCCTCAGTGTGGCAAGGAAGATGCTGGGGCCCATAGGGCCATGAGGTCTTCTGGGGAGGCTAGCTGGATGGGGTGGGAGCCTCTCAGCTGTCTAGATTCAGAGCTGGAGTCCACTCCTCCTCCCTTCTTCCTCTTGTTGCCTCAGCCTGCCCCCAGCCTTGGGACTAGGCAGAGGTGAAGCTGGCTAACTCTGGAGAGGTGGGATAGGGCCAGGGTGACCCAGGACGGAAGTCTAGGAGGGGTCTGTACCCCATATTACTTCCCCACCATGCTCAGGGCTCAGGGAGAGGCCACACTGCTAGCCCAGGTCTGCATGTTCGGCTATATCCTCCAAGGCTTGCTGCTGACCCTCTCTCCTATCACCCCACCCCCGCTCTCTCCCCAGATGTGTTCTGAGCTGGATGTCCCGGATCCAGAGTCGCTGCACAGTTCCAACAAGACAGTGCCCTCTCCCACGCGCTGGGAGGGCCCTCTCCATTCCTCTCCCTCACCCATACTGAGTGTAGAGCCGGGGCCTGGGTGGTGGGTGGCGGCTGGCGGCCGGTGGGAGGCGACATAGTCCTTGTCTGTGCACGCTCTTCCCTAAATGGTTAGTTGTGGCGCTTGGGGACTACAAATCCCAGAATGCAGTGCACCTGGCCTCATTTCTGATAGGTCACAGTTGGGAAGTGGTTTGTGTTGTGGTGCTGTGCATCTTGGGACATGTAGTTCTAGTCCAGGTCAGCCTCTTACTGCCAGGCAGGGAGATCTTGTCTTTTCATTTTTCCCTGGAGGCATGGCGAGAATGTGGATGATGGGGGGATGATCAGAGAATTGCCGTTCCCCTGACACGTTTGCTAGCCCCAGGGTTAGAGTGGTCAGATCAAAGCCCTGCAGCATCTGGGTGAGGTTCTTTTTCTGTGGGCAGCCTGGGGTTTGAGGAACCGGCTAGAGCAAGTCTGACTAAGCAGGGTGGGGCCCCAGAAGTGTGAATGGTGTGGGCAGGCAGAGAGCCTGGAAGGGAAGAGTGCCCTCGTGGGATGTGTGTGTGGGTGTGTGTGTGGCTGGGACTGGCATGTGATGGGAGCTCGGGGCATGCTGCTGCTTGTATGGCTTTCTTTGGCCTCTGACCCTGCTGTCCATTCTTTCTCTCCATTATCACAGATGAGCTGCCTCTCCTCCTCCCTGCCTGGGGAGCCCAGTGGCCAGGGAGGGGAGTGGTGGAATCAGCCCTGTAACACTGAGCCTCAGAGACCTATCAAAGCCAGCAGGGCTGAGCTCAGACTGAGGGAAACACTGGAAGTCAATAAAGCTGAGTTTTGAGAGCTCAGTGGTACACTGTGTTCTTGTGCTGCTATTTTCCAGGGTGGCCCAGGAGGGGCCCTGTGAGACCAATGGGTGACACTTCAGGCCTCATACCTCCCTTTATGCCAAAAGGAGGTACAGGCCTTGTCAGTTGATAGCAGAAGTCCTCTTTTGATCAGGTCAGCCTCCCCAAGTATGTTATAGAACCGTAAGAACAGCTTATATTCTTTGTCTTAGCCTCTTGGGGGCCTACACCAGATTTCCCTGGCAGCCAGTGTTCGCCTTACATGGAGCCCCACCACCCAGTTGTCCACAGCACAACTAGTAGTCCACAAAATTGATGGAAAGCATGAGGACTAAAGAAAGCTGATACCACATGGCTAAACTTTAAACCAAATGTACCCCCAAGGCCCTTGGACTAAGCCCCTTGGCAGGTTTCCTTATTTCATAGCCTTGGGCCAGGGCCACATGGCAGGTCTTCTCCATTCCCTGAATTAGGTCAGGCCCTAACTCATCAGGGGCCAGAGTGGAAAAAGGCAGATACCACTCTGCTGTCTTCAGCCACAGGCAATCACCTTCCCTGTCCCCTCATGGCCTCTTTTCCCCTCCAGGTCAGGCCTGTAGTATATTCTTTTCAAAGTCCTGAAGCAGCCTTCCCTGGAAGAGGAATTTCAAACCTCCATCCTGAAAGGGAGTCTGCTCAAGTTTGCAGGATGACTAGACCAGAGGAGGATCTGTGGTCTGCTCGCTGGTCCCTTTACTCCCTGCTCAGGGCAGATGGTATGGCACTACTTTTTGTTTGAGGAGACTGGGCTTCAGCACGGTTAAGTGGCCCTAACTACTAAGAAGCCCTGGGTATAAGGCTCCTTTCACCTTATCTCTCTTTCCACCTTTGTCCAAGGGTACCTCTGGCAGGTAGGAACACCTTTAGGCAGGTTCTGGGAGTGGGGGCATAGCAAAGGGAAAGTGTCTCCAGGTGAGCACCTGTCTGGCATCTCACAGGCCTGGCTTAGAGTCACTATCAGAATTTTGCTGTAAAAACAAAAATGCCTAAGTTGTGGCAGGAGCTTTGTCAGTGTCAGCACCGCCTCGTTCAGTCCTGACCTCAGTCTTGGACAACTCTGCATAAATGTGTTGTTCCTGAGGTGAAGGCCATGAAGCAGCTACCTAAGAACCATGAGGAGAGGCAATAGCAAAGTTAAGCTGTCTATGTTCGAATTCTAACCCCACCACTTACAAGTCGTGCTATTCTGGGCAAGCTCTGTGCTTTGGTCTCTTCATCTGTAAAATGGAGCTAATCATTGGTAGTATTATGAAGAGTACACAAGCTTATATACATAAAGTATCTTGGAGACTGCCTGCACAATGTAAAGAATGGCTGCCTCACTGCACTTAGCTCCTGTTCAAACCAGGAGAGCCTGGTGCCCTCCCACCCTACTCTCTATACCTCCCTGGAGAGGCAGCAGGGCCAGGGCTGGGGCTGGATGGAGTCTGGAAGCAGAGCAGAAAGAACCATGTGGGAGTCTGGGTTGCAGTTGCACAGACAACACACTAACTTTATTCACATTGATACAAAAGTAGATTTTTCTAGAAATATTCTCTAGTGCCAGAAGGAGAGAGGGTGAGCAGCATGTGGTGGGAAGGCAGCAGGAAGAGGCCTGAGTGTGGGGGCAGGGGTAGCAGAGTGCGAGAGTGGGGGTCAAGGAGGCAAGCTGGGCAGCAGGAGCTGTAAGGCAGGAGGAGCTGGGGCTGGCGACTCTTTGCCCTGTCCATCCACACTGGGGTGTGGGGGAGTCCACACTGACACGTTGGGGGCATTCCAAGCCACAGAAGCTGGGCCAGGGAACTTAGGCAGGAGAAGGCCCTGGGTAGAATTGCCCTGCTGCCCTCATCCTCTCCTTTCCTGCCGGCTGCCCCATGGGATGCCCCAGACTGTGCATGTGAGAGTCTGGGCTTCCTTCCACACTCCTCTTGGAAGGGCTGAGATTGCCCAAGAGAGCCAGCATGACAAGTAGGGGAGCGAGGAGTAGGCACAGAGACAAATGCTCATACAGGCAAAGAGGGAACAGAGGCCAGGCTGCCCACCAAGGGGCCCCAGGGGTCTCACTGGGGCAGGGCCTTGAGGATGGCATTCACCTCCTCCGCAACAGCTGTCAGGGCAAATTCAAACTGGTCCTAGAGAAGGACAGTAGCAAGAGGGTCATAGAGAAGCCTGGCCTCCAAGGGAGGATTAGGGAGTGCTGGGCAGGTCCCTTGGGAGAAGGGGGAGTCCTCCTGGAGGAGGGAGAGGCAGGTGGGAGAGACAGGCTGCTGCTGGTTTCCATGGAGTTACCAAGAATTGGGTGCTAGAGGAGAGTGGCAGCTAGGGTCAGGGCAGGGAGGTACGGTTACCTTAGAGCGGACGAGGCCAGGCCGCTGGTCCCGGACGTGTTCCAGCGTAGCGGCAATGTCAATCTCCTTCACTCCTGGAGATTGGGTGGGGAGGGGGCACAGTGTTGCTCAGAGGGGGCCCAGAGAGGATAGGTCCCAGGAAGCCTGGAGCACCCTATGGTGGGATTGGCTAAACCCTGGAGGAGAAACACCCTGCTCCTCTGTGAGCTCCTGGGGCCCTGGGTGCTGGGGAGACTCTGAAAAGGGCTTGGGGGCTGTAGGCATCATGGGCACACTCCTTACCTTTTGCCATGCGGTTCAGTACCATGTCGATTAGGATATAAGTGCCAGTCCTCCCTGCACCATCACTGAAATGGAAGTTAATGACAGGTTTAGCTTGAGACCCAGCAGAAAGGGGAGAGCAGACATGGAGGTTGGGGTGGGGAGGAGGACACTGGTTGGTTTAGGAAGGGTGTAAATGAGCCAAGGATGAGGGAAAGGTCATTGCACCTGGGTCCTGGGACGTGGGTCTTGAGTAGGGAGCCTGTGACTTGTGGGTGTCACTTGTGCAATGTGACAACCAAAAAGGAGAGCCGTGGCTCAGCCCTGTGATGGAGATAGCAGGAGGGAGTGGGGGCAGGCCTCTCCAGCTGGTGACCAGGGTTTTGTTCAGATAACCTTTTATGCAAAGGGCCAGACAATAAATAGTTTTGAAATTGTGGACCATATATGGTTTCTGTCACACATTCTTTTTTCTGCAGCTATTTAAATATACACCATAAAAAAAAAAAAAAAACAGGTGGTGTGCCCGATTTGGCCCATGGGCTGTGCAGTATGCTGGCATCAAGGGCACAGGCAGGCAGTGTGCATGGGCGATGCACATGGGGACCAGAGAGGGGCAAGAATCAAGAGGCCCAAACCCAGGGCCTTCTGGCCTGAGATGTCCCCTTCTGGCTCCACCCACCTGCAGTGCACGATGATGGGGCAGGAGCGTCCCCGGTAGCACTTATTCACCTTCCTGCAACAAGAAACAGGTGTGAGGACCAGTGGGCACAGTCAGGGAGGGAAAGGGGAGCTGAAACACACCATGGGCCTCTCTTTCTTCCTGTCTCCCCAGCTGCTCAGGGCAGGAGGGAAGCGGGCCGGAGAAAGGAGTCAGAGCTGGAGGCAAAGAACCAGACCTGATGTGGGTGGCACTGGGCTTGCCTTGTCACTGATGAGCTGTGTGCCCAAGCTATGCACCTGGAACTGATTTAACCTCTTTGAGCCTGTTTTCTTACCTCTAAAAGGTGGGTAATAATAATAGAAACTTTCTCCTTAGGGTTCTTACAATGGTCACATGAGATAATCCATGTAAAGGACTAAGTGAAAGGTCTGGAACATAGTAGGTGCTCAATAAATAGTAGCTACTATTAATTATAATATGAAAGAGTATTAACAGCTGCCTCTACCAGAAGTCCAAGGGGGTAGGTTTTCCAGCATGTCAGTCTTGTCACATCCCTGCTTTGCCCCTCTGCCATTCTCTACAACCACCCTGACTGTTTTCTTCTCTAGTCAGGCCCCTCGTGGCCCTCACCCCCTGTGATGTCAGTTCTCCCTGGGCACAGATCCTTTGGCCAGGAAAGGACAACCCCTCAACTCTGAATATTGTGCTATTTGTGAAGCAGCCTCACCTCAGCATTCTGTGGCTGATTTATATTCCAACTTGGGGTCCACTTGGACCTCAGACCCTTCCCTGCTGCCTCTGACCACAGCTCAGCAAAGAGCAGAGGGCTTCTCCTCTCCGTGGCTTTTGTTCCTTATGTTCTGCTTTAAGAGTTACCTGCAGATTCCTATTACCCTCTCCAGGCCAGGACTTGGGAAGACCTTCTTAGAGATTATCAGATTGATTCAGGGAAAGCTTAGAATTTAGCAGTCCTCAGTTAAGGGGATAGGTGACTTTGGATGGTTTTCCAGGTGATCGCATGGTTTTCTAGCACATTGGCTGGTATGTCAGAGGGCTAGCTTTGAACAGTAGTCACAACAGTGGTTTCCAAACTCATTTAATAATGATGGCAATAGATAGTATCTAGAATTAACTGAGTCCTTGTTATGAACCAGGCACTTAAACTACTTACATACTATGCTCTGTTAAATCTTGTAACAACCCTCTGTGTGTCATCATCCTCATATAGGTAAGGAAGCAGAGGGAGGTCAAAAAACCTCAGGGTCACTTTCTCAGACTTCTTTTGTTAATTTGCCTTCCCTCTGGTAGACCTTCATCAAACTGCATATATTAAGCAACAATTAATTTGTTCTGTAGGTCTAATGCCTACTAAAGTTACATAACTCAGGCCAAAGCAAAGAAACCTTTTCGCTTACCTGTGTAGCCTTAAAACTGATCCATGCACTAGTTCTATCAGGATTTTTTTTTTTTTTTGAGACACAGTCTCACTTTGCTGCCCTTGGTAGAGTGCAATGGCACCATAGCTCACAGCAACCTTTAACTCTTGGGCTTAAGCACTTCTCTTGCCTCAGCCTCCCAAGAAGCTGAGACTATAGGCACCCACTACAATGCCTGGCTATTTTTAGAGGCAGGGCCTCGCTCTGGCTCAGGCTGATCTTGAACCTGTGAGCTCAAGCTATCCACGCACCTCGGCCTCCCAGAGTGCTGGGATTACAGGCAGGAGGCACCACACCCCGCCTCTATCAGGATTTTTTTAATGGAAAAAAGGAAGTAGCTCCACTATCCTGGCATTGCTTTCAAGATGCCTATGCCTCAGGCCCCAGGGACCCTACTTAAAAAGCAGTGTCTTGAGGTTCAGAAACTATACTCAGATCCCTAACCCCAGCTCTGCTCCTCTGCCTAGCACCTATAGACCTCAGGCCAGCCTGGCAAGGGACAGAGGAGCATGAGAAGGTTGCAGTGTGGGTGGGGCCTCTGCCTCTGCCTGTGGTGGCAGACTTCCCAGCCACCTGTCTGGGGGAGGGAAAGGCTGGGAATGTTGGAGACCCGGCCTGGTGTGAGAATCAGTGTTACAACAGGGTAAGCTTCCTGTCTCAGCCCCCACCTGCTCCACTGAGTCCTTTGGAGATCCTCTGCGCACTCCGTTTCACCATCTTTACCTCTTCCCTGTGCCCTTCCCCCCAGCTCAGGGTGGTTCCCAGCCCCATTGTCCTGTCTGTCCATGCAGCAGCCACACCTGCCAATGATCACTTTTGTGACTATGCAACTGGAGTGAGAATACTAGCTGCAGATCACAAAAATGACACTGGCAGCTGCGAGGGAGAGAGAGAAAGAGGGAAGGAGGAGAGGGAAGGACAGGGAGAGGAAGAGAAAGAGAGGCAGAGACAAACAGAGACAGGGAGAGAGGTGGAGAAAAATAGGGATGTGAGGAAAGAAGAGACAGAACAGCTAAGAGATGCCAGGAGGAAGAAATGGAGATAGAGGGGAAAGAGTCAGAGAGAGACGTGGGGGAGAGAGGAGGAAAGGAGAAAGAATGTAACTCAGAGAGATACAAATAGGAGTAAAGAGACAGGGAGAGGGATAAAGAGAAGATGGTAGGAGGGGGAGATGGAGGGAACAGGAAGAATTGAGCATAGTGCAGGTGGGAGGAGGGACGAAACAGGAGGGGGGGCAAGGAGAGGGCGTGAACAGGGAAGTAGGGGAGCTGGAAAAATGGCGGGCTCTTCTTGAGGGACTCGGGTAGAGAAGCCAGACACAGAGAGGCAGGGAAGAGAGGGCGTGAGCGAGAGAGCAGAGCAGCGGAGTGAGCCCAGGCACGGAGCTGGCTCTCGCGGGTGGGGAGGCGTGGAGGGTGGGCACGAGCAGACGGAGCACCTGTCCTGGTTTGGGGGCAGGAGGGTGGGAGCTGGAAGGCTCACATCAGGGGGCCCAGGAGGAGCCGGTGGGGTTAGGGGATCGTGGAGCGCCGCGGCTCCCGGCCCCCTGCTCCGGTGCTGCTCTCTGAGGAGGCTCCTAGGAGGCTGCCCTAGGGCCTTCCCACGCTGTGCCCCTCCAGCTGGTGGGGGCGCCCGCGCTCACCTGCGGAAGTCCAGCAGGGGGCGGGTGGAGGCTGGGGTGCCCTCTGCCGGCCAGCTGAGGAAGTGGAACTGCGTGAGCGTGCGCGTCTCTTGCGTCTGCACGTTCTTCAGGTAGAAGCTGCGCACCAGGAAGTCCTCGCACCAGATGTGCTCCGACACCAGGTTCACCTGCCGAGGGGGCCAGGCCTGAGGCGGAGGGGCGTCCCTGCCTCCACGTCTTGCGAGCACTCTCCTCACTCTCCTCGCGACCTTCTCGGCTTTTCCAGCACCCCCCAGCCTTCCAGGTGGGCTCAAATTCCAAGTCCTTCAGGAGGGGTACCCAGCCTGTTTCCCTAACGGTCCCAGCTGTCTCCAAGAGAAAAACCTGGCCAGCTGTCATTTATCTACTGCTCAGGACTACTACTGGCGTTCCCACCTAGATACAACTGTTGCAGTGAGCTGTTTGAGGTTAAGAGTTTTTCTTCTTCTAATAGGGTCTACCCCAAGTGTGTGTCTCTGCTACACGTAACATAAACATTGATGAAATTCTTTTTTCTTTTCTTTTGATGAAATTCTATAATAGATTTTTTCATTAATCATGAGAAGGGCCAATAAAAGCCTTTTAAAAAAAGACTACTGAACCCTCACTTGGTGATGAAAAATACTATCCAGGCGCATCTGGGGATAAACTTCAGGTGTGTTCTTAAGGTCTCTGATCCTACAGGGGAATCACCTCCCATTTGTCTAATCTCTTTCTCCTTTCCTCACTTTGCTTCTTCACAGGTCCTCCCTACTTATCCTCTCTCCAAATGAAAAAGTTTGTTTCTATGTTTATTTACGGCAAGATTTCCATCACCCAGCCTGGAGTGCCATGGCCCAATCATAGCTCACTGCTGCATGCAACTCCTGACCTCTGCTGATCCTCCAGCCTCAGCCTCCTGAGTAGCCTGGACTTCAGGCATGCACACCATGCATGGCTAGTTTATTATTATTAGTATTAGTAGTAGTAGTAGTAGAGATAGAGTCTTATTATGTTGCCCAGGCTGGTCTCAAACTCCTGGGCTCAAGCAATACTCCTGATTTGGCCTCCCAAAGTGCTAGGGATTACAGGCATAAGCCACCATGCCAGGGCTCTTTCTGTTTATCTAAGCAACAGATGTGACTAGTGGTACTTATTTTTTGGTTTTAGTCACCAAGAAACTAAGTTAGGCTCAATTAAAATAGTTCTTAAATTTTGGTCTTTAAGTTTACTTATTTCCCTTGTCTCATACCCTTTTGCTCTTAGCTTCTTATGTCACTTTTGGTGATTTTATAGTTTTATTCCTGTACCTTTATTATAAGCACCTACAAATGCTTTTTGACCCTAAACAGGACATACTTATATGTATATGCAAGTGAATTTATGTGTGTGTTTATGTACATACATTCATATATGTTTTGTTTTTTAAATTTTTTAAATTTTTCTGAGGCAGAGTTTCACTATGTCGCCCTTGGTAGAGTGCCGTAGCATTGCAACTCACAGCAACCTCAAACTCTTGGGCTTAAGCAATTCTCTTCCCTCAGCCCCACTTGTAGCTGGTACTACAGGCACCCTCCGTGACACCCAGCTATTTTTTTGTTTGTTTGTTTTGTTTGTTTAGCAGGCTTGGGCCAAGTTCAAACCCACCAGCCCTGGTGCATGTGGCCAGTGTCCTAAGTGCTGAGCTATGGGCATCGAGCCCATATATGTTTTAATAAACCATCATCCACTTTCCCCACACCCATAGTCCCCTTGCTGTGGGGGTCCTACTGACCTCATATACATGGTAGAGAGAGGAGCCCTCATCTGGCCAGTAGCGGTCACACTGCTTGACACCATCCTCCACCAGTGGGGTCAGCATGACAATGACAGTACAGCCACTCTCCCACACCATCTGGGGATAGAGACCCAGGTAAATTCCACTCTAACTTGGGAATTCCCTGGCTAGTCACAGGTCCTAGATAAGTCATCCCTCTATGAGCCCACCTGCCAGAAGTCTGCGATGGTATGGGACAGCGGGCCCTGAGTGGCTATGTAGGCTGGCATCCGAGGGTCGTGCTCAATCTGGGGGCAGGGAAGATACATTGTGAGCCAGAATAGGAAATGCCTCTATGGAAAGGCTCGGTCAAAGGGAGGAGGCTAGGGTCTGGGGAAGGCTGAAAATGCCTCATTTCCATGCTAGGATTATCAGGCTCCTCAATTCCAGTGGCCACAGGGGAAAAGAATGTTTAGGAGCAGGGTAAAGATGGGGCAAAGGCAAGAGCTGGAGTCAGGGCCACTCACAATGGGGCTGGCGTTGATGTAATCGCTCCGAGAAGGGCTGCTCTCCACTTTCAATTTGATGCGGGCATGGTCATCTGCACAGACCCCACATCCCACCCCCGATGACCCTCTGGTCATTGGAGTCCTGGCACTTCTGCCACTCAGGCTGAGCCAGGAGCCCAGCTCCTCCCCCAAGCTGTCCAGAGCTCCCAGCAGAGAGAGGGCTGGGCCATATGTGCCAGCAGGGTTTACTCACAAGGCAGGAAGTCAGGATGGCGGTTCTTTTTGACATTGCCCTCCCCCTGTGCAGTGGTGCAGGTGTTTGGTTCCGCTTGGTAGGCACACAGAGCCTGCCACTCCTTGGCCAGGCGGTCCCGGTTCCGCAAGTGGTCCTCCATGTATGCCTGCAGGGGTAGTACAGCCTGGCTGTGGCCTACACTGCCAGTCCTGCCTCTTCTACTATGTTGTTCCCTCACCCCCTCTGGGCTCAGGCCCTGTCCTGACCAGAATCATGTGTCCCGTGGAGATGTCCATGTTGGCCTGGGCAGGCTCCTCACACCAGGATGGTGTGCTGCTGTGGGAACTGGGGCTGGCCTGGGCCGCGTCACTGAATTGGGAGGACACACTGCTCACTCGCGAAGGCTCTGGTGGAGCCTCTGCCCGGTTGAACAGAGACTTTGTGGCCATGTGCTGGCGGCACAGGTCCTGCAGAGGAAGGGTCAAATAAAGTTCAAGAGTCCCCTGAAGACTTTCAACAAGGCCTTGGGTTCAAGTGTGAGCCCAGGTTTTAAATCCATCCTCTCTGGGATAGGGCATTTTGCCCAGACTCATTGTTTTCAGGGTTATTCTGTTTGGGTGATGTTTATGCTCTCTCAGAACCCCAGAATCATGGCACTGGGAAGAAACTAAGATTCATCTGCTCCCAATCCTCATCTAGTCCCCCACAATCCCTCTACTGGAGCTCTGCAGCCTCCACCTGGATATTGCCACGGATGGGAGTTTATTCTCCATTCAACTCCCATCCTCACTCCATGCAAGACCCAGATTCCCAAGGCCTTTGCTTTGCCTCTCAACAAACTCCAGGGGCTGCACACCTGGTATTCAAAGGTAGTGTCACCATGGGCTCCCTCAGGCCCCAGGGCTGCCAGGCGCTCCTTGTCCCGCTGCCGTGCATGCTGCCGCACACACAGAGCCACCGCAAGAGCCACCAGTAGCCCAGCCACACCCGCCAAGGCCACCAGACTTAGCAGCACTGAGCGCATGGGAGAAGTGCTGTGTGCGGTTCGAGGAAGGACTGCGGCTGCCTCTTCTCTCTGTGGACACAAGGCTAGAATGAAGGGGGCAGTGGCAGCGGAGTTTAGGAGCTGCTCCTTACTCCTATAACTTGCCATACTCCCTGCTAGGACATCTGGGGTAAAGCTGGGAGGGTAAGGCTATGATGGTATAGACAGAAGGCTCAGTTCCTTCTTCTCAACCCTCATTGCACTTAGCTGCACAGTGCCAGAGACTCAGTGGGCGACCTTCACCAGGAGCATGTGCACTTAAATATGGACATAGAGGAGTAGAGAACTCAAGGAATTGAATATGAGGCATCAGTGTTGGATGCAGAATAGAAATATTGAGTATAATGTCCTTTCTGCACAAGGTTTTCCCTTGAATTTAGAAACTTCTCTCCAGAAGGCTAAGGACATCTCAGCTGGTTGCTACCAAGCACCCACCTTCCTGTAGCGGGACAGGGAGTGTGGGGGTGGGTCCTGTGGGAGGAACTACCCGGGCCATCTGCTGGTCAGAAGGAGAACTGCAGGGGAAGGGGCTGCTTGGGCAAAGGCCATGCCCACCAAGTTTAGGAGTTTTCAGCTTCACTTCTCACGTCAAGTTCGCCTCCTTGTCTCGTGTGCAACGTCAGCCTCTGGGGCTTTGATTGATTCTCCAGTTAGTTCATACCTGTCCCACTCCTGTCTGCAAGATCTGGAGCCCTGTCTGTGCTTCCAGTTCAGACTTCACCAGCCCTGCAGGGAGGACACAGGTCAGGCTCTCTCCAGCCTCATGTGGGCTCTACCCCAGGTCACACTATGCTACGTAGCAAGGAGGGCCCATGAATAATGGGCTGGGAACATTTCAAGAGAACATCCAAGAGCCTGGATATATTCCAGTAGGGACAGGCTGAGCCTGGGGCCAAGCCTAGGGTTGAGGTTGGGAAGGTATTTACCTGCTTGCTGGGTTACATCAGCCAAAGACAGGTTCTGTTCATTGTGTCGGATGCGGAAGGTGAGGGCTGGTCCCACCACACTGCCAAATAGGATTTATGTTACTCCCTTATCCACCCTAACCTCCAGACTCTAAAAGAGAAGCCAGTGCTGGGTTTCTCCCCATTAGAGGATGGGGCTGGAGCAGATCTGAGACACCCTACAGGGGCTCCTGAGGTCAGAAAGATGCTGGATGGGGCCAGCAGTGGGGTTAAGTATGGCTATACCTTCAAAATAGCAGGGAGCATCTCCAAACCCAGAGCTTATCTACCCATTCTCCCCTGAGCCCTTCTAGCTCCTTGCTCAAGCTGCCTTCTAGATCTCTGCCACCACCCCAGCATGACAAAACCTACCTGATGTTGATGAAGCTGCCTGAGGACACGTGCACATGCTCAGCCAGGATCTCCAGCAGCTTCACCCCTGCAGCCAGGCTCAGGGGCCTGGAGATGGGATGCAGGCAGAAAAGGGAAAGTGGGGAACCCTCTCAGTCACTTTCTTAATATAGGCCACTTCCAGCACTGCAGAGCAGCCTGCCATCTCACTGTCTCCTTCACATCTGGATTTCTGCTCTCTGCCAGGTGGGCCAGCCCCACCCCCAGCAGACTGGAAGGCTTCCCCAGGCTGAAGCCCTTACTTCTGGTCAGTGACGATGTAGCCATACTCCTCTGCAGATGGCTGAGCTGAGGTCTGTCCTGCCACTGTGGGCTGGCTCTGGCCCAGTGGACTCTTCTTCTCCAGGAGGACAGGTGTGGCAGGGGGACTGGCCGCTTTGGGAGGCTTAGAAGAGCCAGGGACCTGCGCCTGCTGGACTTCATTAGAGGTGGGGTATCCAGGCAGGGAAGGCGTTGGGGGTGGAGGCTCTGCTGTGTCTCGATGCTGCTCTTGCCCCTCCAAGGTCTGTTTAGAAGAAAGGATGAAGGTGTGGCCTTTGGATAGTGGTGGGACTGGGGGGAGGGGTCCATACCTTGCACAATGCGCTCTCCACAGTAGAGCTCAGGACTTGCTTAGCTTTCTACCCCCAGGGCCCAGTGCAGTGCTGGGTGCAGAGAGGGCATCCAGAAAATGTGAGCCAAGTGGATGAATGAATGAATGAATAATGGGTTGAATGAGTGGGAAATGGTCAGTAATAATTTACAGGAAATGGGGCTGGAGTGAGAAAAACATCCAAAAAGAGAGAAGCTGGGGTGAGGGATGAAGATGAAGAGGGAAGCAATGGTTTTTAGACTTTTGTTTAGCTACAAAATCTTAGAAGACCAACACGTGAAATAGGAGCAGAGCCCCTCTAGCAACAGGGGCTCAGGAACCTGCCTGTTTGCAATTTCCCTCTTCCCCTAAGAATTCTCACAGAATGGTCTGAAATGATTGTAGTGAAAAGAGCAGTGAATCCTGGCTTCTAGTCCCAGCTTTGTCATCAACTTGATGTGAGACTTTAGGCAATAACTTGTAGTCTCTGGGCTTTGGTTTCCCCAAAATGAAGGGCTGGAGGATGCAGATTCTGAGTCTCAATCCGGATATTTATATTTTGGCAAGGGGGTGTGTCACCCCCGGGCATTTATGGGCCAAGGAAGCGCTGGGAACTTACTTTCTTGATATCAGCTCCAATATTTACAATCCCTCCTGCAGAGACAGGAAAAATAAGAGTCTGGGAAAACGACCAAGGCCAAGGTCCACACAAAACAGATGGGAGAAAGGGTCAGAAACCCTGAGCCTGTCACATCTGCTGTGATCTCTTTCAGTCAGTGACCAAGACCCTGTCTTTGTCTCATCCTAAGCATAGCCTCATTCTTCTTGCTTCCTCCTTATAATTCATTGTTTTATTAACTCCTCCCTCTGTCACTGGCCACACCTTCCAATGGCCCTCCTTAGGAAGTCATTGCCACTAACCCACCCTTCCTGATACCTTCTTATCCCTGTTTATACCCTCCGTTGGCATCTTTTCCCATTACTTCCACCCTCTAGTCTTTCCCTAGACTAAGTCTTCAGCTCACCACCCTGCCCTCCCTCTCTCTGTGCTGGCAATGACCCCCTATCTCGTAGAACTCTTCCCTGCTAGGCCATGCCATGTGGTCTTGAGAGGGGGGGCAAGAGGCCTCCATGGAGCTAGGAGTTGCTGGGGTCTCTGCCCTGACACTCACCCAGATTTCTTCCTGTGCCCTTGGGCAGCAACTGCAGCAGGGTCAAGAGGGTGGAGAGCTGCTCAGGGGTCAGCTGGTGCATCTCCACGCCATAGCCCGCCAGCACAGCTGCCAGCCTCTGTAGTGTTGCATCTACTAAGAGCCAGACACAGAACTCAGGGTTGATAGGGGGGTGGGGGTGAACTTGTGGGACACAGTTGGGGTGGGAGGGGACTAGCACACTTAAGAGATTCTGCTCAACCACCAGAACACCAATGCCCTCCTCTTCCCAGCCCCTGCCCACACTTCGGGGCAAGGTCTTCCTGGGCCAATGCCAAATTTCAGGCCTGCCATGGACGTTTTGACTCTCCACTCAGAGAAGAACATGTTAGCTCCACTCCACATGAGTCCCATGGCCTCCCATAGATCAGCTTGTCAGCAGTTAAATGTATGAATGTCATTAACAAATGCATGAGTAGTCAGGAAGGAGCCATCATAGTTCCCCCAAAGCAACTTCCGCAGGCTGGGGGCAGATGCTGAGGACTCTGTTACCTGGCTGCACAGCTGGGGAGGTGGGTTTCTCCCCATGACTCCCTGGTCGTTCCTCCTCATAGCCCTCTGAGGGATCTTCTGCCCAGCTGCTGCCCCCTTGCTCTGGCAGTCTTGGTGCTCTGGACCTGCTGGACACTGGCAATTCCTGGGCCAAGTAGAGCAGCCCTGAGTCCTGGAAAAGCTGAGCAGGTGAGGGGCCTGAAAGGTCCCCATAGGAGTGGCCGGGGTGGTCCCCAAACATGCCCTTGGAGGCAGCTCTGCTGAAGAGGGCGGGAGCTTCAGCCTTAGGCAGGGGGTTGACACTGACCATCCCTGGGGAGCCGTTTGAGCCCCGGGAGCCATCACGGGAGCCAAACTGTGGAAACCAGAGATCTGGGTAAGAGCAGAAGTCACAGCTGGGGGATGGGGTTTGGGGTGGGGCCAGAGTGGGAGGCTCACCTGGTGGAATAGGTAGGGCTGCAACAAGGCAGGTTCATAACTCAGGGCAGGGTGGGGAGGTGGTGGAGGCAGCAGCAGATGCTCTAAGAGCGGGGGCAGCAGCTCAGCCTGCAGAGAGGACAGGGGGGAGCCAGCCCCAGCTCCATCCCCACCCATTGGTGGCCTTGGAAGCCGCTGCTGGGCAGCAGGGACAGAGCCAGTGGGAATGCCTTGTAAAAGCAGCTGCCCAGCGGGACCAGGTCTCCTGGGTGCCAGGCCAGATCTGGGGATGAAAGCAAAGAGTGTATTGTGCTCACCATGTGGGGTAAGAACGTAGAGAACTTGCGAGGCAAGGATGATGGCAGCCAGACAGGCTCAGCAGTTTAGCATAGATAGGCCTAGCCTCTTAAGGCTAGGTGGCCTCAAGGGAGGGGAGGGGAACCAGGTGGGCCAAAGGTATCTGCTTCCCAGGTATCTACCTCCCAGGGTATCTGCCTGGGTCTTTGAAAAGCAGCTGCAGATGCTGGGAGTTGATGAGGTTAGGGGTGTGAGACAGATGAAACTTCTCTAAATGGGTTGTGGCTGTAGCTGGCCCCACTGCCCTGTGTACCATATCCCCATATCTGGCTCCCCAAGTCTATGCTCAAACATTCAGGACTGCTCCTCCACTCTGTCAGTATGCCTTTTTCATTTTGGTATCATCATCTGGGCTCCAGCAACCTCAATTACTTTCTTCTGCTTTGCAGGGTCTGAATGATGCCTTTAGTTTAGAGGCTCTGACCACCAAAAAGATGATGGTACCTTCTCCCATATAGAAGTCCTCATAGTAATGAAACTGAACATTAAAAAACTTCAGTCCAGGCTCAGTGCCCATAACACAGTGGTTACAGTGCCAGCCACATACACCGAGGCTGGCGGGGTTCGAACCTGGCCTGGGCCTGCTAAATAACAATGACAACTGCAACAAAAAAATAGCCGGGTGTTGTGGGGGGCACCTGTAGTCCCCACTACTTGGGAGGCTGAGGCAAGAGAATCGCTTAATCCCTAGAGTTTGAGGTTGCTGTGAACTGTGACGCCACATCACTCTACCCAGGGTGACAGCTTGAGACTCTGTCTCAAAATAAATAAATAAATAAATAACTTAAATAAAAAAAGTCAGTCCAACAAAGTTCAAATTTGTTCCTGATGATTATTTTGATATCTCTCTTAAAATATCCAGTGTCAAAGTTTTTACAAACATTTTTTAAATGCCCTGATTTTTGGATCCCCAGGGATGATCTCAGCTCCTATTGGGTATGTGAGCAGATCAGAGAGTGGCCATCCCTGAACTTCTTTTACCTGTGCCCCAACATGCTGATCTTGGTGCTGCTTCCTTCCCCCTTCCCTCCATCCATCAGGAAGACCACAGACCCATTCTAGAGTTGTCAAGAAAGTTTGCCTACCTGTCCCTTGAACGGGACTCTGGGGGGTGGAGCCTGGGGATGCGTTCCATCTCCTGGGAGATCACATACTGGGTGAGGTCATCATGCCAAGACAGTCCTGTCAGGGGCAAGGATAGGGTGAAGTTGGCTTGAGAGTCTGAGGATCCAGTAACAGGGGCTACTGGAATCAGAACTGCACTCCCTACCCAGAGAACAGAGCAGAGGGGCAGTGGAGGGGATCCAGAGACCCAGACAGTGATATGAGCTGTCCTTGTTACACCCCCAGGCACAGCTATTAGAGTCAGACTGCCCAGGTTTGAATCCTGCCTCTCCCACTGATGAACTCTGCGTGACCTTGGGCAAGTTGCTGCACTTCTTCAAGCCTCAATTCCTTTATCTGTAACATGGAGATTTAACTTTCTAAGGTTTTTTGATAATTAAAATAACACACGTACATATCAGATGGTTAGAATAATACCTGTCACATAGTGACTTTCAACAAATGTTGTTATCATAATTTTACTATTTTTTTAATTGATTCTGAACCTCAGTTTTCTTTCTTTTCTCTTTTTTTTTTTTTTTTGAGACAGAGCCTCAAGCTGTCCCCCTGGGCAGAGTGCCATGGCATTACAGCTCACAGCAACCTCCAACTCCTGGGCTCAAGCGAGTCTCCTGCCTCCACCTCCCAAGTAGCTGGGACCACAGGCGCCCGCTACAACGCCTGGCTATTTTTTGGTTGCAGCCATCATTGTTGTTTGGCGGGTCCGGGCTGGGGATTCAAACCCACCACCTTAGGTGTACGTGGCTGGTGCCTTAGCCGGTTGAGCTATAGGCGCTGAGCCAGTTTTCTTTATTTTCCAAGTTGATATATATTTCAGGTAGATGTTATGAAGATCAAGTGTGGTTGGGAAGATTAAAGTGCTTTAGAAAACTCTAAAGCACTATATACATTTTAAACTCTTATTCAGTGGTTCGTGACCCATAGGAACTGTATTAAAGGATCACGGCATTAGGAAGGTTGAGAACCCCAGCCTTATATCATCATCATCGTTGTCATCATCATCTTTTGTGATGATGACAGGCTCTTTTCTCCTGACTCTTTCCTCCCAAACTCTGCTCTCTGGAAAGGTCAGCCACCTATTCTAAAGGAATATTCTCTCACTCTTCACCCTCTTTCTTTTTTCTCTGCTTCTGGATTTATAATCTGTGTTGTTCTTTATTCCTATTCTGGGATCAACTAACACCTATACCTGCCTTCTTGCCTATTAACATTAAGCGAACTTTCTGTGTTCTATTTAAAGCCAATTCCTCCACTTGAGCACTAGATTTCATCCCCTGTCACCTACTCAAGAACATCTTCCCTGCAATTCTCTGCTTTTTCCTACATTATCATTTTCTTTGTTCTCTACTGAATTAGTCCCATTAGCATATAAACATGAAGCAATTTTTTCCATTTTTTTTTTTTTGAGACAGAGTTTCATTTGATCACCCTGGGTAGAGTGCCATGGTGTCATAACTCACAGCAACCTCAAACTCTTGGGTCCAAGTAATTGTCCCAGCCTCCCAAATAGATGCTACTACAGGTGCATGCCACAATGCCTGGCTATTTCTAGAGACAGGGTCTCGATTTTGCTCAGGTTGCTTTTGAACTCATGAGCTCAAGCAATCCACACACCTCAGCCTCCCAGAGTGCTAGGATTATGGGCATGAGGCCACCGTGCCCTACTTGCAATTTTTTCTATCTTAAAAGAATGCTGCTTGATCCCACATTCCCCTCCAGCTATCACTCCACTTCTTTGCTTTTCTTTTCTGTAAGACTCCTTGTAAGAGTTATCTATACTGGCTATATCCAATTCTTTTCTTGTCATTTCCTTTTATTCCACTCTATCCAGGATTTTATTTCCAAATATTATACCAAAGCTGCTCTCATCCACATCACCAGTGACTTCTGATGTCTGAATCTGGTGGTTGATCCTCACATTTCATTTTAATTAACCCATCATGATCATTTGATGCTGTTGACTAGTCCCTCCTCCTTGATATACTTCCATTTGGCTTTTAAGACACGAAACTCTTGTTTTTCTCCTACTCCCTTGGCTTCCACGTCTCAGTCTCCCTTGATGATTCCTCTTCTTCTCCTGTTCTCTTAATATTAGAATTCCCTAGGTCTTGATCTTTGGTCCTCTTCTTCATAGGCACTCAATCCTTTGGTTATCTCATCTACCTCATTAGTTTAATTACCCTCTATATGCCAAAGAATTCTCAATCTGTGTCTACCTCAGACTTCTCCTTCTCTCTTTCAAAATTCAGTCTCATATACTCAACTCTCCCTCCATTCTACTTGAATAGACATTTTAAACTCAACATATTCAAAACATAACACCTCAAATTGATCCTTCTGCAATTTTCCCCATCATGATTAATGACATCTCCACTGATGCAATTATTCAGGCAATGAAACTTTTGATTTCTCTCTTTACAACCATATCCGATATTTCATGAACTCGTGTTGACTTAAAATACATGCAGGATTCTGCCATTTTTGGGTGGTGCCTGTGGCTCACCCAAGATAGGGCGCCAGCCCCATATACTGAGGGTGCAGGTTTGAACCTGGCTTCAGCCAAACTGCAACAAAAAAATAGCTGGGC